TAATAGGGGAGAGGGACATGTTATAGTCATTTTTATAGGGAGAGGGACATGTTATAGTCATTTTTATAGGGGAGAGGGCATTGTTATAGTCATTTTTATAGGGGAGAGGGGCATGTTATAGTCATTTTATAGGGGAGAGGGGCATGTTATAGTCATTTTTATAGGGGAGAGGGGCATGTTATAGTCATTTTTATAGGGGAGAGGGACATGTTATAGTCATTTTTATAGGGGAGAGGGGCATGTTATAGTCATTTTTATAGGGGAGAGGGGCATGTTATAGTCATTTTTATAGGGGAGAGGGGCATGTTTTAGTCATTTTTATTGGTGAGAGGGGCATATAATATGGAGAGGGGCATGTTTTAGTCATTTTTATTGGGGAGGGGGCATGTCATAGTCATTTTTATTGGGGAGGGGGGCATGTTATAGTCATTTTATAGGGGAGGGGTCATGTCAAAGTAATTTTTATAGGGGAGAGGGGCATGTTATAGTCATTTTATAGGGGAGACAGGCATGATTTTTATCATCCAAGATACTGTTCAAAGTCATGTAGCAGGTTTACTGGTTGAGGAAGGACATACATGCAGGTCTGTACATTATTTAGGGAACAGGAAAGTTTCCTGTATTTGACACTGGTAAATTAGTTTGAGAACTCACTCATATGAAAGAAATAATTTCTGTAGCATTTGTATCATCCATGACGAGTGGCAAGCCATTTATATTGTCAGCTTTATCTTTCAATTTTATATTGCAATGTTTTTGTTTGAGCATGTTACCTGTACAAATACAGTTATTACTTAATTAAAGTATTTGTTTTCTACATGTTTGTGTACAACTAGAATTGGTTGTTAATTATTGTGAAGGGATATACATTGAATTGAATTGTGAAAAGAACAAAATGATTATGCTATGTTTTCTCCCTATTGTATATCTATATAGATTTCTTTTTTGCAGAATTTATTTCTATGTGGAAAGCATACTTGGTATTTGTGTCATACATCACCGACATCACCTAGCAACTCCGTCCTTGACCTAACAACCGAGTCAAAAATGAACCCTCCAACATATGTGATAGTACAGGGTTGGCAGTTACTTTCTATGTGCATATCGTTATTTATTCCAAAACAAAGCATTATGTGGCTGCTCAAAATGCATCTACAAAAGAATGCTGATCCAAGGTATAATTTTGTTTATAAAACAATATTTTTAAAAAATGTTTTTATTATTCTTAACTCAAATCTTTTTAGCTTGACTATACAAAGTATATGGAGAGCTGTCCTTCTCACCCCAGCATTGGTGTCTATGTCCAGATTTCATATTAAATTTGTTGTGCAGTAAAATAATTTTACTACAGCTTAATTATATCATGAGGTAGTACTTCAAATATATTATATTATGTTACTTATCATCAACCACATCATATGTGACAAGGTTCTTAAATCTAGCACTAATATTTCCAGAATTATTGCCTGTTAACTCAAATTTTCCTTTAAAAATGTTTAATTTTAGCTTGTCTGTTCTGAAGAAAAATTAAAGCTATTAAGTATTGTCAGTGTGGTTTTTGTCGTTCAGAAACTTTAATATAGCCAATTACATATTTTTAAAAGTATCAATATGAAACTTATCATGACAAGGGGCAAGCATTATACTGAAAACTATATTTTTGGAATTATGTCCTTTATTGCTTATTTTGTAGAATAATTTCAAAAGTATGAAAAATATCAACATGAATCTTGTAATGCATGTACTACTGTAACCCAATTTATATTCGCGAATACAAATTTTCGCGTTTTGCCGAGGTCGGACATATTCGCGAATATTAATTTCCGCGTTTTCTTGATTAACGAAAAAAAAAAATTCGCGGATTGGAAAGTCCGATGGGGCTGTAAAATCCATAAGCCGACTATTAATCTTCAATAATTGAGGTAATTATTGGTGTCTTAAATTGGATTAACAATACGCTAGCCTTATATTGTATTTGTAAGTGAATTCTGATCACAATTCAGCAAAACATTTTCTCTATATATGTACATGTACGCATCGTTCGCCTTCATTTTATCTAGAAAAGTCTTTAAGAAATTCAATTTAAGCGTTTTATAAAAAAACCTTCTCCAAATAAGGAATCGAACCCACGCCGAGAAAATAATGTTAGTGAGTCCGCAATATAACCAAATTGAGCTATACAGGCTGTTAAGTTTGACGGGTAAAAATCGATACTAGTATGAAAACCATCTTGTATTTTACTGTTTGTAATTATGTACACCAAATACCGTTTTGTGATTGCCTCGATAGGTTTATACCACCTTTGTCTTAACAATTCACTCAAAAAATAATTTTATAGGATCCAAAACAATAGCCTTTTGTGATCTCGATAGTTTTCCCACTTTTGTCAAACGATTTATTCAAACATTTATTTTAAAAAACATTTTGTAAGTGCAAGTATTTTTGTATGCATATACTTAGTATAGAAGTGTAAATATGAGAAACTTAAAACTGACACATGCTCCGTATAGTACCCTATACGGAACGTGATTGACAATAGCCTACTAGTATTTCATAAACTGTATTAAAAATGTGGATGTTTATTTTGATTGCTATATTGACATAGTGTTCTTTTGATATTTATAAAATAGTAGTAGTTTACTTAGTTTGTGTTTTTATTGCTTAATGGCAATATTCATAACAATTCATTACTTCTTATTAGGTGCCCGTAAAATTCGAAAATATCCGGTCAAGTCGCTTTGCATAACTACGTCTAAAACTCCAATTTATTCGCGAAATCGTGCGGACTTATTCGCGCAAACAAATATTCGCGCTTCGTGGCCATCCGCGAATAAAGCGAATATTAATTGGTCGCGAATATTCGTTGGGTTACAGTATGTCATGGTAAGGAAGTTAAAAGACGAAGGGGAATTAATCTGAAAGCTTTCCCCCTTTAAACTTAAAATGTTTGTTAAAACCACTGTTGTAACACAAGGGGCATTATCCTGACATGGTCACAAGTATATTAGGTGGTGAAAAATGTTGAACATTTGAGTGCTTTCTTGATACCGATACAGAAAGAAATTTATATCATAATTGATTTTGTTTCATAGTTTTGTCTTCCTGTACAGCATCCAGTATTTATTTAATCAAGTATGCTGTCTCCTCTGACAGCTCTTTTTGATTTTCTGTCTTGTGTTGAAATGCTAATTCTGTATATAATAATTTATATACAATATTCTGTATATATTTTCTTTATTAGATGAATCTGTAATACTTTACCAATATTTTTATGTCTTTTTTTTACCAGAAATAGATAACTATTTTGTGAATGTTTCTCTTCCATTTAGGCCAGAATTAGATATGCAATATTTCTATAATTTCATAAATAAATAAATTAATGCAATATTCTCATCATGGTTTGTATTTTAGGTCAGAAGTTGGTAAATATGCAATATTCTGTCAGCGTGCCCTGGAAAGAACACAACAACAAGGATTACGTGAAGTGAAACCATCTCGTATGGAGGTGATGTCAATCTTGCTTAGACATCCCTATCATCATTCACAGCCTATTAGTATACCAGTACATTTTCTAAATAACAGTTATCAGGTTAGTTATTTTACTTTATCTGTTTTTGTTATAAAAAATTTATGCTGGAAATCTTTGTACCTAAACTGCTGGTCTCACCTACAAGGTCAAGGACAAAGCTTTACATGGTCTGTCAAAGAGTCAGTTTTGTGTCCAGTCCATAAGTTTTTGATCCATTATAACTTTGCACAAATACTATTTGTTTTTGTTGTTAAGTCTCTGGTTTTTGTTATAGAAAAAGATTTGATAGAAATCTGTATATCAGTCAACTTGCATATTGTATTATGTAAGCTTTGCACACTTATTTTCCTGTTTTGTCCTTGTTGAAATATAACTTGAGATATTATCAGGTGATAAGTTTTGATGGTTCAACGACAATCGAAGAGTTTTTACAGTCAATCAACAAATGTCTCGCTGTTCAGGACTGCACACACTCCGGCTTTGCTCTGTATTCAGATGACCCACTTGAACCAGACTTACTTACATGCCTACAAAGTCATATCAAGGTATGTCAAACTCCAAACATTTAGTATATAAACTAAAATTTAAACTGTAGTTGAAATTATAACTTTCAAATGGTGATTTGTCTCTCAGTGCTGATTAAAACATCATGTGGGATTATGAGTTTGTCACAATAATTGATTAGGTTATCCAGGGAAGTCCATTAGGTGGACTGACTTCTAAGATATGACCAAAAATAAGTTAAAATCCGGTAAAAACCAAACAAAAACAAACTAAAATGTGCTATTTTGGCACTTGTATATTTAACTACAAGTTACTGGCAATGTTGACATTCCAAGCCAGTGTGCTTTTTGACAAAACTTAACCCATTAGTTCATGAGCATTTTGTGAAAAATGGCTGTTTTCATTGATAAGTCTCCCGTTACAAGTTCAAATTGCTATAATACTATAAAAACTGCTTCAACACTAATCAAACTTGGCACAAATGTTGACTGGACCATTGCCCTTGCAACAACATGCTCAGGCTTAAATTTTCTGTTACCATGGCAACAAGGGGACATCTCAAAATTGCCAAAAATCACTATTTTGCGTTGATTTTTTCCATCAAAATTGATTTCAAAGTGCTGCAACTTCTCAATGGATTGAGATAGAGTCAAATGCTTTTCAGCGTTGTTTACACGTTACCTTATGATCAATCTAGGGTCATTTATAGCCTCTCACAAGTCCAAAATTTTCTTGGCGATGAGGGGGACTCCGCCCCCCTTCAAACCCCCAAAATAGAAGGGGGCACATCCCCCTTCTGGCAATCCCCTGATGTATCTTTTGGTTGAGGGCCGCGCCGAAAAAGAGGTCACTTTTTTTAACAACATTTCTCAAACAAAAACAAGTGTTGGGGGCCTAAATAAGGCATTTTTTTGCCATTTGAGACAACAAAAAGGGGGGGGTGAAAAAGGCGTTAAAAGGCGACGCCGCGTGTATATAACGTAATGGGTTAATATTACATTAATTTGTTTTATCTATAAATCTTATAAACTAACACATAAGGTCATAGCAAGACAATTTTATATTGTATAAGTGAATTGTGCAAAGTTTAAACATGGTATAGGTATATATGTATCTTGTCAATTACCTTCATTTAGATTTATTATCTATTTTCAGATATGTGATGTGATCTCAAAGTGGGAGGAGTGTTTTAGGGAATATCATGGTGGTAAATTAGACACCAGCAGAACAATCAGGCTGCTATATAAAAACAGGTTTGATGTCTTTGAATATCATACACCAATGAAATTTGACTTTTTTTGTTCAAAAAAGGGGCAGATTTTGAGACACATCTTTATGTTCTTGTGGGGATAATATCAGATGTTTGCCACCAGTATAGAACCATATGTGGTTTTCAGACCAGACACTATACTCTTTTTTTCTTTGTTTGGTTGAAAATAACTGCTTTAGTTGCCCTTTTGTTCTTTATATAGTAAAAATACCCTCCAAAAGTGACAACTATGTTCATTGAAATGTTGCCTGAATGTAGATATGCATCCTTAAAATTAAATGAGTTTGCACATCTTTTTATGCGCCTAAAGGAATTTCTGCAAATATTGTTATGCTCCTGTGGTCCTTTGTCTGGTTTGGCACCACTATGGTGAAAACTTGATTTATTTAGACTTACATAGGAAAGTACATTTTAGTCTCATTGTGGGAAACTACAAATTCTAGATAAATTATTGAGCTTTACAAAACTGATATGTATCATGCCCCTGGGTTAAATATTGACCCAGCCCTAGAGGTCACCTCATTTAAACATACTTGCATAGAAAAAAACACATTTGAGACTTACTGTGTGAAACAACAATGCCCTGAACTTAGATATTTGACATTTTACATCAATTAGTGGACTATGACATAACTGGTATAAATCATGCTCCATAGATCAATGTTGACCTGTCCTGGGGGTCACTTATTTGATATAGTGTTACATAGGAAAACATATTCAAGTTTTATTTTGTGAAACTACAATGCCTAGAGCTTATATATTTTGCATGCAGTATTACCTTGTGTGGCCTAAACAAAACTGGTATTAATTATGCCACTTGGGTAAATATTTTGCCTGCCCTGGGGGTCACTTAATTTATATAGACTTTTATATAGGGTTAACGCACGTTTTTTCGTGTTATAACGTCTGCAGAGTCCCGAGGAACGGTTGGTGCCCGAGCCCAGTAGGGCCAACTACTTTGGAAATTCAAATGCTCAGAACCGTTCGAAAATTCGAATTTGAATTGATTAAAAAAAGCTTATCACTGGAGATTTATTAACTCAAGAAAAAAAACATTAAATTACTCTGCCCAAGATGAAACATGACCCTCAGAAATTCTTAGAATGATTTCAGGTTGACGGTAGAAAAAAGATCAGCGACATCAGAATCGTTTTTTTCCAAGCTCACACGTTTATAAAAGAAGTATCAGCACTAAACATTATTCTCTCCAAGAATATAAAAAAGCATTTATCAATATTAACTAGTGAGTTCCAGATTTGGTCGCAAAGTCGCTGATAATCAGTTACTGTTATGTAAAGCGACAATAATCGATTCACAAAAAATTGTTCCGCGACGTCGTCGAAAATGTTTAAAGTATAAAACCAAATTAATTCTGACGGTTATTTTCTTTTAGGAACACCTCGCCGATGGCAAAAAAAATTATATTCAGCAGACAATTTGGAGTTGAATAGGATCAATACGTGATGTAAACAATAGTAATATAATGTGATGTGAATGTTATTATTTGACATCATTGGAAAATTACAATCTATTTCGCATAAAATAATAACTAAATAGGGTTAAAAAACTGTGTGAAAAAGCTGCTTAAATGAAGTTTCATATACTGAATATGAATCAAGTGCCTGTGGAAAAAATGTTTCTTCCCTATTTCTCTTTAGAAAGTAATCGATTTTGTCCCATCCGATTGAACGATGATCGATTGGGACAAATTTCATGATTTCCATCACTAATATAACATCAATAAAACCAACATTTTCTCATATTCATTTGTGTTATCTTGTTTTGTAAGTTAATTTGAGGGTTAATCTGAATTGACATTTATTTGTTTACATTGACAACTGTTCCGTTTCTGTAGAAAGGGCGACAACAATATAAAGCGGCGATGTCTATAAGCCGTATTTCCGGCATAGTTACTTGAATGCTGCCTCGCAGTTATGGAGACTGGGAGGCCCTCTCGGAATCAATTTAATTTCACAAACGGCCAAATCGTCAGTATTTTTTTGGTTTGTTTATCTGTGGCCCCTGTTATCTCATGATATAGGGAAAAAAACTGCGCGCATAGGTCAAAAACCGGGCTATAACAAGAGCGCGTGACTATGTTAACGCATGGTTTTGGCCCCGTTATAACATGGGCAAAAGAGGGGAAAATAGCCGATTTTATGCTATAATTAAGCAAACAACATTTAAGTCTTCTTCTACAGAGCCCAGAGCTTAGATATTTGGCATGTAGCTCCAATTTGTAGTTTTCTACAAAGTTATGTTAATTATGACCCTAATGTCAAAATTTGCCCTGCACTGGGAGTCACTTGCTTTATGTAAAATAATGTACCACAGGGAACACTATATTGCCCAGAGCATTTATATCTATAGAAGTTTTATGAATCATGCACTAAGCATAAAAAAATGGCCCACCTTGGAGGTCATATAGTATCATAAGGATAATCAAGGTAATACATTTTTCAGACAAGTTTCTTGATTGGGTCTCTACCCTTATTGAAAGATTATTTTTGATTATTCAAACAAATTTACATTTGGGCATATATTGCCCCGCCTTGCTCTTGTTGGTTATGTCGTGGGTCAGCTATACATGGTAGGCAGTTAACCTGTGCAAAAGTAAACTAAATTCAGCAAAAAGACATATTTAGTAACAATAACTGCATATGAGACCCTATAAGATTAAAAAATTAATATAATTTACACTGTTTGTGTGTGTGTTATAGATGATATGATCTAGAACTGTTTCTTGGAAGTATAGATTTAAAAACATTTGCCATTTTAGTCTTATAAATATATATATATTCCCTAAAAGTAACTGTATAAAATTATGTTGGCCACTGTCATTTTGCAATTTTATTGCCTTTTGTTTGAAGACAAATGATTCCATTTAGCCATGGTAATTATATTTTGAACACAAGTAAATTGATGATTTTAAGTTCACTATTGTATGGTTTACAGGTTATATTACAAGAGTACAAGACATTTTGAGACAGAACGAGAGAAACTACTACTCACCTATCAAATTAATGATGAGATAGTGCATGGAAGATTTCCCCTAAACAGAGATCTTGCCTTGGAGCTTGCCTCGCTCATGGCACAAGTAATTATTGATATTTGATAAATATAGTTTTTCTGAATTTTATATAAATTTTTTTTTAATATAACTTATTTGCTATTTTTAACAGTTATTAACTACCTTATTGTAAAGAAACTTATGGACATATGGTATGGTGTAGTTGTAATGATTGTTCTTATACATACTTAACATGTATGTTATATCAAAGCAAAACTCAAGTTTGATTATGGCTGTAATCAATGTATTATTAGTCCCCTACCGGTTTAACCGGAGGGGACTTTAGGTTTATTGATATAGTTAATCAGCATCTGAAGGAGAAAGTAAAGAAACATTTTATGTTGTCTTCTTGTATCTTTGCATTGCCTCTAAGCATTTTCTCATTATTACAAATATTGTCAAAAATTATTTTACCTAATGTTATGCAATTTGATGTTAATCTATTAAATTTACAGATTGAATATGGTGATTTAAAATCAAGTGATTCAAGTTTAAGTCAGCAGGTATGTCAGATTATAGACAGATTTTATCCTAGAAAATACAGAGAACCTGCCACTAGTGATGGAATCAGGTGAGATTCTCTTTGTTTTATTTTGTTAGTTTTTAGGCCTTTTCCTGCATGAACCAAACTTGCTGCCAGGTCAGTAAATGTGTGCAGTCTGACTAGGCTCTACACTGTTGACTGACCAACTTATCTAAACTCACCTTTATTACAGAAGGAAATTGATGAGATTTTCCACTAGGGTAGTCGACTGTCACAATTAAAGTTTTGGTGCCCTATAAGGGAATTTTTTTTCATCATAAGTAACTTTGTGAATTTCTTCAGTATTCAACTTACTTCTTTGTCATTATTATCAAACTCTTAATGGGTAAGTTTTCATAACCTCTAAACAACAATAGTTTCTGTTTATCCTCCCTCTTGAAATTAGATTTTTTCCTTTAAAAAATACTATTTTTTTTGTTCACACTTATTTTAAAGTTTTGACCACACATCATACTTCAAATATGGTTGACTTTCATCATTCCCATCATCCCAATGTAGAGAAAGGTTCTGTAACACTGCAATAATACCTTTTCAGATAATTATTCTCCCCTTGAACTTTCCATGAATTTTGCCTTAAAAAATACATATTTTTTACTGTTACTTCTTTATTTCTTAAGGGATCAACCTCATACTTCAAATATATGTACCTTATCATCATCCCCATCTTATGTGACAAGGTTCATAACTTTAGCACGAATATTTTCAGATTTATCTCCCCTTGAAGGTAGAATTTTCTTTAAAAAATATTATTTTTTACTGTAACTTATTTATTTTTTTAAAGGGATCACTTTCATACTTCAAATAAATGTACCTTATCATCATCCATATCTTATGTGACAAGGTTCATAACTCTAGCACCAATATTGCAAGAATTATCTCCCCATCAACTTAGATTTATTTACTAGAAAAATGTTATTTTTTACTATAACTTTTTTAGTTTTAAAGGTATCTACCTCAAACTTCAAATACTTATTCCTTATAATCAATTATATTTTATGTGACAATGTTCATAACTCTTGAAGTAATTTTTACAGATTTGTCTCTCTTTGAACTTAGGATTTTCTTTAAGAAATATTATAACTTTGTTACTTTTTAAGGTATCTACTTCAAACTTCAAATATATACTTCTTATCATTACATACATGTTGTGTGACAAGGTTCATAACTCTAGCGTGACTATTTCTAGAATTATTTCCCTTGATATTGGAATTTATTTTAACAAATGTTATTTTTTTACTATAACTTGATACATAATTATACATAATTGATTTTTCTTTCATAGTTTTGTCCTCCTTACTGCGTCCAGTATTTTATTAGTCGAGCTTGGCTGTCTCCTGTGACAGCTCTTGTTTTTATCATTATATCACCAATTATGATATTAAACAGTTTTAAAATGGAAATTGATTGAAGAAATTATACAGGTTAAGGGTTAGTTTGAACTGTCACAGTAAATGTCATTTGGTGACTTACCGGTCTAATAAGGGAAGAACCTTTTCATCATTAAGCTGGACAGATTACATGTGAAAATATCTTTCAGTATTCAACTGTACTTTTTCTTTGTTGTCATTCATTCAGTAAGCTCTTACATGGCTAAGTTTTTTCATATGCAGCTAAAAGAACAATAGGGAGAACAATAGTCTGTCTGTCTGTCCATCCCAAATCCCATTACTCTGATTTGATTTTTAGCTCGACTATTTGAGAAGAATAAGTAGAACTATCCTAGTCACCCGAGCGTCAGTGTTGGCTTAACCACTTATGTTAAAGTTTGTGTACCACCACAAATTCAAACTTCATTGAAATATGGCTTTGAAACTTTGCACACATGTTCACCATCATGCCCCAAACCTGTAGACAGGAAGAGGTAACTCTGTCAAGCACTGACAGAATAATGACCTTTTTCGAGTTTAAGACTTAAAGTTAAAGTTTGCATACCACCTCAGATATTTTCATATTCCATTGACATTTTGCGTTGAACAAGTTAAAATTATATAGATTTCTTTTAAAGCCCACAATAGGACTCTCTTCAAGCCTATAACTGTAACATTGATTTGAAAAGAATTTTGGCCCTTTTGTGAACTTAAAAATTTTTACATTATCAAGGCTCTTTAACTTTCAAGCACTAAGAATAGTCAAGCGTGCTGTCCTACCGACAGCTCTTGTTTGCATATTTATGCCACTTTTTCGAGTAAAAAATTCTTGGTAAGGTTTTTGTGTGAAAGCTGGTATCTCCATAACTGCCAAAGGAAATTAATTGATTTCAGAGATATAAATTGACTTTGACTCATGTATGACCTTGACATTGTAAGTTTTCACTTATTTTTGTTATAATTAGCTGTAACTTTGTAATGATACTTGGACACAATAACTCTTTGGACAAGTCCTTCTAAAAGGTTGAACTGACCTTGACCTTGAGCTTTAAATGACTTTGATTTTCAATGTCAAATTATTGAGTTTTGGTTAAGTTGTTATAATTTTTTTATTTTGTGTATGTATATTGTCCGGCACCAGTGGGGTCCTTGATACTTTTCATAACATTTGAAATCACACTAGAATTTTGAAAAAAATGACTATAATAGTGATAATAACCAGTTTATTTTATCCGTATAAAGTCAGGCACCGGTGCATCGATGCAGTCTGATAGGATTTTATTCTGTTAAAGTTTTAGAAATTTGATATTGAAATACCTTTGTTTAGCATTGGACAATTCCAAATTTAAAGCAGAAAATGTCAGTTACACCAATTTAATAATAGTTGATAAACATTTTTTGTTCACAGAGGTCTACAAGAGAAATTAATTGAGCGATGGGTGTCTTTGAGGGGTCGCACACATCAGGATTGTGTCCGAGTATATTTGGCAGTGGCACATAAATGGCAGTTCTGTGGCTCTAAACTCTTTCTTACTAAGGTATGTACTGAGGTTTTATGTAGTTTTTTATGGCTTGGAAATTTTTCTATCATACTAATATAAGAAAGATTGTGTTGAAGGTATACAAAATCAAATACATGATTTTGGTTTGGTAAAACTAAGAAGTGCAAGTAATGTTTGATATAAATTTCTGTGTATTATAGTGGCTTAAATTTTACAGGATTGATGGGTAGCTGAAGTACTTATGCATATTACACGGGTTTCCAGTTGTGTGATTTTCTGCTTAGTTTTAGCCTTTGAATTTTGGCCTATTAAGGATTTTTGTGTTGCCTGCTACACAGTAGCTGATACATGCTACTAAGTAGCCACAACCTATAAGGATCACTTTGTCATCTTTGTATCTGTCTGTCTGTCCATCTGTCTGTCTATAAAGCTTGTCCAGACTACTCCTCAAAAACTACTGGTGCAATTTCATCTAAACTTTATAGGAATGATCTGTAACAAGTCTAGTTGTTCTTATCATCATCATTTTCCAGTTCTATGATTTTGGTTATTTTGTTGTGTCACTTTAATTATTTTTTTTTATTCAGACTACTCTTATACTACTTATGGAATATGAGTGAAACTTTACAGTTTGGCCTGTAAATGATTTTTGTGTCTCCTCTAAACAGTAGCTTCAATGTGCTACTTTAAGTAGCCACAACATATAGTGAATAACTGGTGAATCACCCCTCAATACAACATCAATTTCATATTCATGACATATTGGAAACAGCTTAATTGGTTATCATGAGGAGACACATGGTCACTGATCACTCTTGTGTTAAGATCCATTTTCTCAGAATCTTAAAAGCTTTTCACTTCAAACTTGATAAACATGTTTATGAATGCCTTTTCAAAATTGTAGGCAAACTGCTTAGCACATTTACAGAATTATGCCCCCTTTTCTATGTTGATTTTATTGAACTATACAGCACTGAGAAAAGTGGAGCCCACTTTCTGCGGACATGACTTGTTTTTTAGTGTTTGCCTTGTCATTGCTTTCAAGAATGCTATCCAGTCCATATTTATGACACATTGGAAATACTTACAACACAGTGGTCAAGTGATTAAGGTCCCATACTCAGAATCACTTGCCCCTCACTGTTGTGTGTTCTAATCCCACCAGGGACTTTAGATTCTTTCATGTGAGGAAACTATGTAGCTAGCTTACTGAACATTGGTGGTTCTTCTCTGTTGCCTGTTCATGCCTGAAATAATACATTGACGGACAGCTGAGGTCTTCCTCCACCATTTAAGCTGAAAAAGTTGCCAAATGACCTATTCCATGTTGGTATGACCTAACACCTAATAAAAAATAGAACCTATCTGGAGCTTTGCTTTATGTGAGGTAACTATCCAGCTAACTTAAGGAAGGTCAATGGCTCTTCTTAGGTACCCATGCAATGCACTGAGGGGCATCTGAGGTATTCCTTTACTAGTTAAGTTGACATACATGTATGACCATGAAATGTTAGAATAGAAACAATGACTTAGTTGAGCCATTATGTATTGGATATTTTTCATAAAGTCATGCCATGCTTTCCCCTGTTTGGTTGAGTAGGGGGATCAGGGGGGTTGCATTGTGTAGATTGATTGGGGGAGGTAACATTTATCTTTTCTTATTTTAAATATACATTTAGTATACCCCCACCATACATAGTTTGGGGGAGGGCTATGTAAGAATCATTTTGTCCCATTGCACTAGGGGTATAAATCACCTTGGATGATAGTCCTAGTTGTGCTTAATGTATAAACCTTGAAATCTTATTAACTAAGGGAAAAGATTCTCTGATTTATTCTGTAAATATTGTAACATTATTACAGGAAAGAGAAACAACATCATCAGAGGAAATCTGGTTGGCTATCCAGGAGGAGGGTGTGGCTATTCTAGAATATTCTACTATGGTATTATGATTTATTTATTATATCTCCCTTAATTTCTGGGAGACATATTGTTTTTGCCATTTGTTTGTTTGTCCATTCTATCTTAGAGGAAAGGTGAGAGTTTGTGTACACTTTAACATTATGAGGTTCTTTCTGTAAAACTGTAGTTCTGGGGTTGATAATAGTGAATGTGGGGTTGATGAATAGCAGATGTGGGGTTGAAAAAGATAAAAAAAAACAACCCCATAGTGTCTGTCAGAAGGATAAGCTTGGCCGGCTTTCACAGGTCAAACTACTGGCGGAGTTTGATGAAACTTCTGAAGAGTCAACCCTAGTTGTGCATGTTGTCAGGACATTAAACTTCACTGCACAAAATGGCTGCCAGAGCTTAGAGAAAAAAAACCTTGTGCAGCTTTCACAGGTCAAAATGCTAGTTGGATTTCAACGAAACTTCACAGGATTGATGATTGATTACTACCAACCATAGTTTTGCATATCGCAAGCATGTTCTGCTTTACTGCACAAAATGGCTGCTAGAGCTAAGATATAAAAACCTTGTCAGGTTTTCACAGGTCAAACTGCTGGCGGGATTTTCATGTTGCTGTTCCATCCTTAGAGTACATACAGGGGAGGCATATGTTTTTGTCACAAAACCCATTGTAGTTTATTTTAGATCTACTAGTCTTTTGCTTAAAGTTCTGTTATTTATCAGGAAAAATTCAAATTCTTTACTAAAAACGCGGGTTTTGTTTTAAAAAAAAACTACAAAGAGGAATCATTTAACTTTGAAAAAAAAGGGTTTTATAAGTCATTCTTACATTTGTATGGTCCAACAGAAATCTCTGTTTGCCTTCTTCATTGAGTATGTAATGTTATACAACTTACTTCAACAGAATATAAATGAATGTGATAATAATTTGACATCTATTATTTATAATTGCAGCAACCAATTAGTATATATGACTATAGGTCTGTTGTAACATTTGGTGGTTGGAAAGAGGACCTGATGATAGTGGTCAACAAGTTAATAGAATCTGCTCCACATCATTACGAGCATAAAACACAAAAACTACTCTTTATATTACCACAATACAAGGTTTGTGTCGTAGTCTTTCATATTACTTTTTAGCTCGACTTTTCTATGAAAAGGGGAGCTATCCTACTCGCCCCGGCGTCGGCGTCGGCGTTAGCGTTGGCGTCACACCTTGGTTAAGTTTTTCGTACCACCCCACTTTATTTCAGAAGTATTACAAGTATGGCTTTGAAACTTACCATACTTGTTTACCATCACGACCTTCATCAACAGACAAGAGGACATAACTCTGTCAAGGTTTTTGACAGAATTATGCCCCTTTTTGACTTAGAAAATACATTGAATATGGGTAAAATCCACTTATTGCCTTAACCCTTTGAGATATTGCTTTGAAACTTTTAATGCTATTTCACATCATTACCCCCATCTGTACGCAAGAGAAGGTAACTCTGTCAAGGATTTGTTTTAAAAATTAAGGCCTTTTATCGACTTAGAATCTTGGTTAAGTTTTTAGTACCAGTCCACTTTTTGACTGAACTGTTTGAGATATTAATTTGAAAGTTGGAATACTTGTTTACAATCATGATTCCCAAACATGTCCAGGAGAAGGTAATTCTGTCAAAGATTTTATTTGAATTATGGCCCTTAACTGTCAATGTTTTGTATTATAGGCAAGCACTAAAAAACTTAAAAAATCTAAAAAAATTCATTCCTATCCACTTGTTCACTTTACCATAAATTATGTCATATAAACATTGCTGTAAGGGTATCACACAATTCAGTAAAATAATTCTTCACTAAATATCTTAATGCTCATGGCCATTGTTCACTTTAAAAATACAGAGATTCTTGTATTGCCTTTTACTGCAAAAACTTTTTTTATTGGCAAGCAATAAAAAAGTCGAGCGCGCTGTCTTACGGACAGCTCTTGTTTGTTGGGTCTTGAATAACTTTATCAATGTTAAGATATATTTACTGGTTTAGGATGAAATCAGATTGTCCTCCATGCCTTATTTCAGACTTACTATAAGTACTAGTTGGATATCTTTCTCACATGAAAACATGCAACAACTCTTCATTGATTTAAATATGTATATGATATCAGTGTCATGTATGGACTTTGAAATTTAATTTTTGATGTAATGGTAAATATGGATATCTGTTTGAATATGTATCTGTAAGTAAATCATAAACTTTTCCTTTGATATATACATAAAGCCGTCCGTCAGTATTAAGCTTGTCCGGCTACACAGGTCAAACTGCTGGCAGGATTACAATGAAACTTAACAGGAGTGATCAGTACCATCTCTTGTTGTGCATAATGCTGGCTGCACAAAATGGCCGCCAGAGGTATAAATAGAAAAATCTAGACACATGTTTTTGTGACAAAAACCCCTTCTAGCTCAGACTTATTTTCAAACAATTAGTCAGAATTGTTTTGCACAAGAGATTTTTTTATTTAAATCTCATATATGTACTTATTTCTGTGGGCTTAATATTCTGCAGGTTTTGCTAAAATAATGTGGGGTATTAAATTTCTGCTTACCTGATTTCTGTGGTAGCACAATAATAATTGCAAAGTTTTCAATTTTAACAATAAAAAACATTCTTAATTTGCTGATATGTATATGTCATTTACTTCCAATATAAAACACGGAAGACAGATAATGGTTGCTTCATATACATGTATATTGATAAAAAACAAACAAACAATATGCAGTGACCACATTTTATGTAAATATTGGTATAAAAATAAATATATTTTACTGCCAGATGTTCATTTTTAAGCTGGACTTTAAATTTTTTTTAAAGGTATTGTTACAGTCATGGAGGCATTCGCGTTGTTGTCCCAAAACTTTAAGCTTGGTCATAACTTTTTAAGTTGTTGGTGTATTGTCTTCATACTTGGCCACAACAACCCTTGGGCGTAGACTAGACTAAACTTGACCTTCATTTATAAATGACCTTGACCTTCAAGGTCAAATGTCTAAATTTTGCTTGATTTTTGTTGATTTTTGCTATAAGTTGCTATAACTTTGTCATTTTTGAATTGATTGTCTTCAAACTTGAACACAACAATCTTTTAGGATAGACATTCCAGGTAACCAGACAGATTTTGACCGTCACTCATAAATGACCTTGATCTTAGAGGTCAAATTAGTGAACTTTTAAATTTTTTTGCTGTAACTGGCATAATGATTGTATTGACTTCATATTAAGAGACAATATTCATTATGATAAGACATTTATGTATATCAAACTCAAATTGACCTTGGCTCATTTATGACCTTGACCTTGAAGGTTATATTATTGAAATTTCACTGATTTTTGCTATAATTGATTATAATTAATAAATAGATTATCTTTAACTTGGACAAAACAACCTTTTGGACAAGATCTTCTAATAAAAGGTTGAACTGACCCTGACTTGGAGCTTTAAATGACCTTGACCATCAAGGTTAAATTATTGAATTATGGTTAAATTGTCATAATTTTGTTATTTGTGTACGGATTTGAATTATACTAGGACAAAACAAGACTTGCTACCAAACAAACATATTGAACATAATCGACTTTGACTGTCAAGGTCAAATTAATGAAATTCTCTTGTATTTTCCTGTAACTGTCCAAAATCTTGTTATTTATCAATGGATTAACTTCGTATTTAGACACATCATCTTTCAGGTCAGGACTTTCATGTTAATCAAACTCAAATTGACCTTGACTCATTTATAAACTTGACCTTGAAGGTCAAATTATTGCATTTTCACTGATTATTGCTATAATTGGTTGTAAATTAGTAATTAATGATTGGAATATCTTCAACCTTTTGGACAAGTCCTTCTAAAACTGACCTTGAACTTTAAATGACCTTGACCATTAAAGTCACATTATTTAATTTTGGGTAAGTTGTCTTCATTTTGTTATTTATGTACAGATTTGAATCATACATGGACAAACAACACACGTGAATAAAAGGGCATGTTGAATAATTTAGATATGACCTTTATTAAATTTTAGTACAAACTATTATGAGTAACAGATAAACAATTCAAAATATAAACATACTGGATGATTCCCTTAAATTATATATATTTGATGAATGTCACCAAATATTTTACACCAATGCCATTTAGTCCTCAGGTGGGCGACTTGGGGCCAATGGCTTCCTTGTTTAACATTTACCCCTTTTTCAAAATTGAGAACTGTCTCTGTGAATCGAGATTATATTTAATATCAATATGATAAAATCATATATAGTCTGGTCAGGTCAGTCAGCAATGCTGATTAATCTGGCTCTATACTGGATGCTTAGGCAAGTAATTGTGACTGCTAGCTTGCAAAGAGTTAAAATAGTAGGATGTCTTTCTTAAAATGCACACATAAACTGAGTGCATGAAGAAGATATTGTGATCACATCATAGTATGATAATTTTTACCTTGACCCTTGTGTTAAACCTAATCAGTCAACTTATTATTTGTTGTCTTAATGTTGTTACAGGTATTAGAGGCTACACAACTGATTGCTAGTTATATTAATGCACGTGTAAACAGACAGTCCCAAGAACCAAATGGTGGATTGAATATATGAAAGTTGGATAACTTCAGTACATGATATGTCAACAGAATATATAAAGAAGAAAATGATGGATGCAATATATGAAATATATGGCCAGTGAAAGCAAGAATCAGTTGATAGAATGTGAAGTAAAGTTAGTCTTCTAGAAGAAGAGAATGTTTGTTTATGTATGAGTTGCAAATGATTTAAGCCTAGTTTCCAGGTGTATGAGGAAAAAAGTGACTACATGTATATTATTGTTGAAGAAGTTTGTGATATATACAGACAGGGATAGGTACTAAACCCTGGGCTGATTAATAAAAAATGAATATGAAAAACACCTTGATGACAGATTTATGATATATGATATTTTAAGAAATATTGAAAGCTACTCTTGATCTTTTCAAAATACATAAATGTATTGTTTAATGATACAGAATGTAAGATTACATGTATGTTGTGAATATAAATCTAGTAGAATCATTTTGTGATATTGCTTAACAAAAGAAGATTGTCACATGTTTCTGGAAAGGTTATATGTATGTTTCAGGAAAGATTATTAACAATAATGAAAGATGACATAATATTATGTTTCTAGAAATATTATTAAGTGTACACATTTCTAGAAAGTTAAAACATGTTTCTGGAAAGATTATGAACTATACACATGTTTCTGGAAAGATTATTAATGTATTGTTGTTTGCTAGGTCAAGGCCTTTCTTGTTAAATCTATAAAACTTTCATTTTTTCTCTGAAATTATTAAAGACTATTTTCTTTTACCATTGAAAGAACACTTACCAAAATCAAAATGCCTTTTGTTTTTAGAATATTGTATGAAAATTGCAGAACATGATAGTTCAAAACTACCTCTTGTAAAAGGAAATTGCTGTCTTTTATTGTTTTTTTTTCTTCTTAGTCATATAATTTAAATTACGTGCAAGGAAAGAAAATATTTGTAGAGAAATTTAATTAGTAAGTAAAAGTACTTTTTGCACTGTTCAAGTTACAAACATGTGACATATTCTGAGAATATATAACAGTAATGGTATTTATGATATGTTTCATGTATAAACATGTGATTATGTATATAGAGTTGAAATCTTGTAAATGTTCATTATAAGATACCTCATTGTATTAAATAATAATATCACCTCTCATATTACATCAACATGCAACTTATTATCTTATTTAGAAATTCATACAGTTAAACATGTATAGAAAGGCTGTCCAGTGTTAATAATTTTTCCCAGTTATCCTAGTTTCTCTGAAATTTTCCTTATAATCTATTTTTTTCTTCTTCTATTTCTTCTCCTTCTTTTTCTTCTTCTTCTTCTTATTATTATTATTATTATTATTATTATTATAATTATTATTATTTATGAATAATTATGAGTAATTATATATGACATAATGTTTAGTATTTCTTCATGAAACATGTGATCATTCTTTCTAATGATGTAATTTTTTTACCTTTTATTAAACAGATATTGTGTTCAGTGATATTTATTTAACAAACTTCCCTTTTTTCATAATTTATTTTAATAATTTAGTCTTATCATTTTACACCCTTAATCTTCAGTACCTTAAATTGACTCGCCTATTTTTCAATCTGGCAGAACCAACAAAATACTGAATAGAGAACAGTGCAGACCTTAATGTGACAGCACAGATGTGCTGACTAATCTTGGTCTGTAATTATCACATGGGTAGTATCTATAACTGACATCAGATTAATGTATTAGAAAGTAAAGTGGTCACATATAGTGAGAGGTACTGTATATTATAGTCATTATTTCATGCTGGTCTCATGTTTGACTGTACTGTATTATTATTCTTCATTACCTGATATTATTATGTTGTTTTTGTATGATACAAAATGGCACAACTGACTATACACCTCAGGGTATTTTAGAAAATCATTTTTTTGTTAGTTTTCAGTGATATTTTGGATGGGCAATCATTACTATATTCTTGTTTTTATTGTTTTGCTTTTTTTTATTAAAATTGATTTTTTTGTTATACTTCCTTATAGTGATATTAAATTAATCTCAGAAAAAGAAGGTAGTTAAATCTTTTGTTAATACAATTTTTTTAATAAATGTTAATATTTCTGTTTGAATCATACAGTTTTTATCTGCCTCTTTATCTATATCTAAATGTTTAAGTGAATAAAGTTTAAAGTAAGAATTAATCAACTTTTTTTTAAACAAGTTTCTTATTTTACTGTCTGTTTAAGAGGACTTTGTAACTTATTGTTTAGGTGTTGATAAAGGTTGAGAATGGTAAATTTTTGTGGTAGGGAACTAATTGTTGTGGCAGGAAGTATATATATAACATTACAAAGGTCAGTAGGTTGTGGTTGTGTAGAGTGTATACAATACAGCATACATTATGAATGGGACAGATGTGTTCAACATTAAAGTGCTTCAAATAAGAACAAGCTGTAGAAGACATAATTGAAGGGTTTTTTTCTTGTTGTTTCCTCTTTGAATTATGTGACAAGTGCTCCCATATTGAAACAAATCTTATTGAAGTTTATTTATCTGTATCATACAAGTCTTGCCAACTGTTTGGACACCAGCTGGTACAATTCTGAAAGCTAATCAGACTATTGTCTGCATAATATTAGTATTACAATGTATTTTATTAAATCCCTTTATATAAAAGTGAACTCTTCTAAATTCAAAGCAGGCCAAATCAAAAGCTGATTGTATGTAGATATAAAAAGAAGAAATGCATTTATTGTTGGACTTTATATTTGAGCTTGAAGACTGTCACTAGTTATGATTCTCATACAATAATCTTTATTAGACTTTTATTATGCCAGCGAAAGCAGCATTTAGTAATCGCACTATCCGTCCGTCCGTCCGGTAACTTGTGCACGCTTCATCTCCAAAATCTCAAGGGGGATTTCAGTGAAACTTCACAGGATTGTTTGTCACCATGCCTAGTTGTGCATAGTATCTTGATTTTCCACTTGAGTATTTTTTGCTCAGTTATGGCCCCTTGTGGTCAATTTTTTCGTAAAATAAGCTTGTTTGCGCTTCATCACAAAAACCGTTGGGGGGATTTCAGTGAAACTTCACAGAATTGTTTGCCAACTTCCTAGTTGTGCATAATTTCCTTGATTTTCCATTTGAATTTTTTTTTTTGGCACAGTTATGGCCCCTTAATGGTTTTTATTTTAGTAAAATAAGCTTGTTGGCGCTTCATCTCCAAAACCGCTGGGTGGATTTCAGTGAAACTTTACAGAATTGTTTGTCACCAAGCCTAGTTGTGCATAGTATCTTGATTTTTCACTTCAGAAATTTCAGTGAACATTTATAAAATTGTTTGCATGGTGTCATGATTTTCCAAGTCTAGTTGTGCATTGTGCTATGATTTTGTGCATGAATTATTTTGCACAGTTATGGGCTCTTGATGATGAATTTTTTTAGTATGTTTGTTTAGACTATTACATTTTCTCCTACACTTCTAATGGAATTTCAATTAAATTTTAGGAATGATATTTATCAAAGGCGGTCATGGGTATATTACAAGTATTTTGGCATATATTTCGCATTTTATGTCAAAGTTTCCTTTAGGGGCATAAGTCACTTTTCAGTGATAGCTCTTGTTTTCAGAATGATTTTGTACTTTTGTAGATATTCTCAAACTGTTTCTTGTGATATTTTTATAATGACTTACAAAAATGTGCAATAGTTCAAAACAAAAGAATCTCTTCCTATTGTTGTTTAAGACTTGATATTTTGAGCAATCTGATTATACAGATGTTTTCCAATTTGGCAGTTACGTAATATTTAGCTTGACTTTTTCGAAGAAAAATTTCAAGCTATTGCTACAGTCAGGTTGTTGTTCCCGTTGCTATCCAGAAACTTTACTGTTGGCCATTGGTTTTTTTTTTAATTTCTTAATGGATTATCTTGATACTTAGACAAAACAACCCTTTGTAAAAGACCTTTGAATAATTCAAATACAACCTTCACTTTTTAGACCTTGACAGTCCTTGGTCATATAATTGAAATTGCTTAAATTGTCATATCTTTGTTATTTATTATGAATTTGATCTTGGACAAAAGAGCACTTATGATAAAATGGTGATCAATTCAACTGTGACATTTGAATGACCTTGACTGTCAAGATTTAATTCATACTTGGAGAACAGAACACATGAACAAATTTTGTTATATAACCTTGACGTTAAATTGAACTTGACCAAATTATTAAAATTTGCTTAAATTGTCATAACTAATATATACTTAAGATTTTATCCTACTTGGACAAAAGAATACATATGACAAAACCAACAGTTTGAATTATTCTGATATGACGTTGACTTTATTTGATCTTGACTGTCAAGATCAAATTATTGAAATTTGCTTCAAATGTCATTCTTGGGCAAAAGAGAACTTATGATAAAATGATGATTAATTCAACTGTGACCTTTGATTAACCTTGACTTTCAAGATCAAATATGATATTTGAATTTTATGTGTTTCAATTGTTTTGTAGGAGGGCTCTTTACTATAATGTTCTTCCTCTGATGTGTTTGACTTTATAAATTAGAAAAAGTAGAGTGTCTGGCCTTCATTAGGCTGTGGCTCTTGTTTATTATTACTTTGATATTATTATGTTTTCTATTTAGTTACTCTGTTGTACAAAATTAAAACTTCTGCGCATTTAGTATAGTTCTAGATAATTGATTATGTTAAAATTAATGTAAATTGAAGTTTTGCAATATGTTTTGTTTCTTTCTTTTGTTTTAGTTATTTATCATTAATTAAACATTTAAATAACTTTAAAATGTTGTGTTTCATTGGTGCCTTTGACCTTCAAAAAGTTTCCTCTTTTAGTCAGTATTTCTTTGCATGATGTATATGATGCCTATGAAACAATCCATGAACATACAAAAGTATTTAACTTTAGATTTATGAAAATTTAAATGGCAGCGAGTGTGCATGCGTGCTTTATAATTAGTATGCCCAATGCTGTTTAATAATTATTGTGCCCGCTTCTACATAGTAATTATGGCTACTGCTTCATAATTTTAATACACTTGATACTATATATAGTAACAAAATTGCCCATGATTTCAACTGATTATGAGTGTCACGTGACCTATTATGAGTTTGCGGCCCGGGGCCGAGAACTAGTTATCAGCCCGCAGAACTAATGCATGTGCACAAAGTGAAACAATGACGTCAGATTTTACGTCATCAAACAGTTGACTGTAAAAGTGAAAGTAGGTTTTTAGCACGAATCGCTTGATTTTATTACGAGAGCTTAGGCGTATTTCGTACAAACACAGTTTTTTAACTATTGAAATTTAAATAAATAATACGACAAATTCATTCCGAAAAAAAAAAATGAAAATAATACTTGCTTCTAGATTCTAGTGTACTTTGTACACAAAAAAGTAAACAACTCTGTAGAAGTAACTGTACAGTAGAAGTACAGACAGGAATTTCAACGAAAGAAATATCAAAGTATTTGTTTTAGAAAAATGCTACAAGTAGATCTATACCAAGTGTATTAAAGACATTAATACACGTCATAGTGCCAGAAGGTGATAATCGGCCCTGAAATGAATAATGCCCTCGGGGCCATTATTCATTTTGCGGGCCGATTATCACCTTTTGGACCTACTCTGCCATGTATTAATCTCTTAATATCTACTGCTGCATATTTATTGGGTCCATAATGCTACATAATTATTATGTTCACTGCTACATATAATGCCCACTGCTACATAATTATAATGCATATTGCTACATATAACGCCAACTGCTACATAATTATTATGCATATTGCTACATATAATGCCCACTGCTACATAATTATAATGCATATTGCTACATATAATGCCCACTGCTACATAATTATAATGCATATTGCTACATATAATGCCAACTGCTACATAATTATTATGCATATTGCTACATATAATGCCCACTGCTACATAATTATTATGTTCACTGCTACATATAATGCCCACTGCTACATAATTATTATGCATATTGCTACATATAATGCCCACTGCTACATAATTATTACGCATATTGCTACATATAATGCCCACTGCTACATAAATATAATGCATATTGCTACATATAATGCCCACTGCTACATAATCATGCATATTGCTACATATAATGCCCTCTGCTACATAATTATTATGTTCACTGCTACATATAATGCCAACTGCTACATAATTATTACGCATATTGCTACATATAATGCCCACTGCTACATAATCACACATATTGCTACATATAATGCCCTCTGCTACATAATTATAATGCATATTGCTACATATAATGCCCACTGCTACATAATTATAATGCATATTGCTACATATAATGCCCACTGCTACATAATTATTATGTTCACTGCTACATATAATGCCAACTGCTACATAATTATTATGCATATTGCTCAATATAATGCCCTCTGCTACATAATTATTAGTTCACTGCTACATATAATGCCCACTGCTACATAATTATTACGCATATTGCTACATATAATGCCCACTGCTACATAATTATAATGCATATTGCTACATATAATGCCCACTGCTACATAATTATAATGCATATTGCTACATATAATGCCCACTGCTACATAATTATTATGCATATTGCTAAATATAATGCCCACTGCTACATAATTATTATGCATATTGCTAAATATAATGCCCACTGCTACATAATTATAATGCATATTGCTAAATATAATGCCCACTGCTACATAATTATAATGCATATTGCTAAATATAATGCCCACTGCTACATGCATATTGCTACATATAATGCCCACTGCTACATAATTATTATGCATATTGCTACATATAATGCCCACTGCTACATAATTATTATGCATATTGCTACATATAATGCCCACTGCTACATAATTATAATGCATATTGCTAAATATAATGCCCACTGCTACATAATTATCATGCATATTGCTACATGTAATGCCCACTGCTACATAATTATAATGCATATTGCTACATATAATGCCCACTGCTACATAATTATAATGCATATTGCTAAATATAATGCCAACTGCTACATAATTATAATGCATATTGCTACGTATAATGCCCACTGCTACATAATTATAATGCATATTGCTACATATAATGCCCACTGCTACATAATTATAATGCATATTGCTACATATAATGCCCACTGCTACATAATTATAATGCATATTGCTACATATAATGCCAACTGCTACATAATTATAATGCATATTGCTAAATATAATGCCCACTGCTACATAATTATTATGCATATTGCTAAATATAATGCCCACTGCTACATAATTATAATGCATATTGCTACATATAATGCCAACTGCTACATAATTATTACGCATATTGCTACATATAATGCCCACTGCTACATAATTATTACGCATATTGCTACATATAATGCCAACTGCTACATAATTATAATGCATATTGCTACATATAATGCCCACTGCTACATAATTATAATGCATATTGCTAAATATAATGCCAACTGCTACATAATTATAATGCATATTGCTACATATAATGCCCACTGCTACATAATTATAATGCATATTGCTAATATAATGTCCACTGCTACATAATTATTATGCATATTGCTACATATAATGCCCACTGCTACATAATTATAATGCATATTGCTACATATAATGCCAACTGCTACATAATTATCAATGCATATTGCTAAATATAATGCCCACTGCTACATAATTATTATGCATATTGCTACATATAATGCCCACTGCTACATAATTATAATGCATATTGCTACATATAATGCCCACTGCTATATAATTATTATGCATATTGCTACATATAATGCCCACTGCTACATAATCATAATGCATATTGCTAAATATAATGCCCACTGCTACATAATTATTACGCATATTGCTACATATAATGCCCACTGCTACATAATTATTACGCATATTGCTACATATAATGCCCACTGCTACATAATTATAATGCATATTGCTACATATAATGCCCACTGCTACATAATTATAATGCATATTGCTAAATATAATGCCAACTGCTACATAATTATAATGCATATTGCTACGTATAATGCCCACTGCTACATAATTATAATGCATATTGCTACATATAAGCCCACTGCAACTTGATTATTGTATTCACTACAACATGATTATTATGTCCACTGCTACCTAATTATTGTGCTCACTGCTATATTCATACATGCCATATTTCCAGCCACCCAGATAGGGGGATTTGTCTTTAAAAAGCAGGGAATTTGGACCAAAAATGGGATTTTTTAAGCAAGCGTAAACCAGTTGTAATTTTTAAAATATGCAAAAATATTAATTTTGTTTCCCCGTTTTATTATCAATATGAGGATTTCTCCAACATTATTAAATTTTGATATTTCCATGTTTAAAACAAAGATAAAATAATAACTAAAACATGTGTCCGAAATGTGGTACAACCAAAATTACATACAATTTCGTAAATGAAATTTAAGTGACATGTTTATTATAGATCAGTAATTTATTGATTTAAATATTGATATATTATACGATACAGATTCTTGATATCATGAACATGAAGAAGTTCAAAAATAAGCTATTTAATCTGCCTACATTACTTACAAAGTTATAGCTAATTATAGCAAAAATTAAATGAAATTCAAAAAATTTCACCTTTATGGTCAAATTAGTGACATTGTCCTTACGGAAAATATGCTTCAGTATGAAGACATTCAAACATTATTAACAAAGTTATAACAAGTTATGGTAATATCAAACAAAAATGCAATAATTTGACCTTCAATAAAAAGTTCTTGTCATAAGGATTGTTAATTGTGTCCAAGTTTGAAATCCATACATAAATAACAAAGTAGTAGCCAATTATAGAGAAAAAAACAAGCAAAATTCAATAATTTGACCTTCAAAGGTCAAGGTCACTGATGAGTGAAAATCATAAATCAATGTGGTCGACATGAAGGCCTTGTCCTAAGGATTGTTGTGTTTAAGTATGAAGACAATTTATTCATAAAAGAGTTATAGCCAATCAAGCAAAATTCAAATATTTGACCTTGAAGGTCAAGGTCATTTATGAGTGAAGAACAAGTTCTGTCTGTTGAATTTGAAGGTCTTGTCCAAAGGTCTGTCTTCGAAAAAGTCGAGCTAATAAAAATTGACTAGTTCCAAGTAAGTCAGACAAGTTCTAATTCCTTAACACAAATTTAGCAGAGTTAACATGCCTCTCTTCTTTCAATTTTTAACAGAAGTTAAGATTTTTAATTTACTGAGTGTACAGATCAATCATAGCAGGGAAAATGTAGAAATAGGTCACTAGGTCATGATCCAGGTCATTCATTGTCAAATTTTGATTTCACACACTAGTGTATTAGTGGTCCTAATATGATGATTGAAACTAAACAAATGTCAATATAATATAGTTGACATCGTAACAGGATCAAGATTTTCTAGTGGTACATAATTATGCTCTGTGCACATTTGATTTATAGAACTTTAAACAGGCAGGAAATTCAAAGTTTATCAATGTTTTGTACTAACAAAAGCACCACAAAGATGGGGCAATATACATCCAAATGTAAATTTGTTTGAGAAATCAAAAATAATCCTTTATTTAGGGATTATCCTTACTATATGACCTCCAAGGCATTTTTACTGCAGGTGCATGATTCATGAAACTTTTATAGAGGTCTATTAGGCTTTTATATGCCAAATATAGAGGCATATTATTTATCTCAAAAAAGATAAGACCCAAGTCTA